TGTGGAGTAGTATTTAATTCAAAAGGCATTACTCTTCGTTGGTAATGTTCTTGAGGTGTACTAAAATCAGTTAATGGTTTAGACTATTTTGTCAACCTTAATTGCCAAAATCATGATTTACAGTCAAACTTGCTGAAAATTTTTTGACTCACGAGTTTGATGTATAAGCACATCTTTTCCAGGTATAATATAACTATCGAATATAAGATGCTTGTTTAGTCTCTTATAGTTAATGACCATTCTGGCCTTTCTTCTTTTTATCTCACTATGGTTTCTTACCAAAAAAAAGCCGGACTTGTATGAGGACTATTAGTGGTTTATATCAGTCTTTTCCTTTGTAGCTGTTGTATTTGTTCAGAAAACTCTTCTACATCTTTTTTGAGGTGGATCATGGGTTTTACCCTTATAATAATTGAAGAATTTTTAATTTTAATTTACAGTAGCGAGGGCTTCGGTACCATAAAGTTAGAGGGTTTTTAGAAAAAATATTTTTAAGAATCGTATATAGCCAGTGTTTTTCATTGAGGCTCAAAATTTGTGAATCTCTTTTTGGGGGTGAAAAAGTTTTATCACAGATATAAGAAAAATGTTCAATAAGAGGAATTTCTTTTAGTTCATCTTTTAATGTAAGAGAAACTTTTTCACTAACAAGCATATAAAGTCTAGTTATTCATAACTAGAACATTTTTAAGGCTTTTATAGGTTGATCTATACCTTTTCTATAAAGAGAAATAATCTTGATTTGTAGGATACCAAGATGTATGTATCGGATCTCAGGATACTACTTCTTCCATCGTGCAATTTTTTGCATGCTAAACAGACCTAACTCTGCAGTTCCTTCTGCAGTACATTGTGCTCGGGTGTGTCCATTACATTGTTCGAAAATTCTTGTGGTCCAGAATTTTCATCATCTTCACTTTCTTCTTCACTGGAGATTTCATATAGAATGTTTTCATCAGTAAGATCTTCTCCATAGATGACACAAAGATTTTCTTCTTCTACCATCTTGATCATTTTTTAAGTTCATTGCAAATATAGCATTTACATTCTTTCTTCTTTTTAGAAGTGTCTTTGGAAGTTTTCTTTTTGATATACTTCTTTTTCTTTTGAACAATTTTTTTTACCTGGCTTCCATTTCTTGTAGATCAACGTTAGCCTTCAAACACCCCCACATACATTCGTTGGCGGCAACTAACGCACTGGCAAAGGAGATGGAATAGGAACAGACTGATAGGAAGCATGAATAATTTTTGAGTGAACATTATAAAACTCCAAAAACTGCACAACAACAACTTCAATGATCTTTTGAACAGACCAACCAAGTCCACCAAACATCATTGCGAGACTTCCATAAATGCCAACATAAGTTTGCAGCAATTCTAGTTAATACCAATTGTTATTGTTGGAAAATATTATTATAGGAATCTTAAATTACTCCACAAAATATTGTTCTGAGAATATTGTGAGAGTGATTTTAGTCCATATATAATAAAATATAATTAGAGTGATTTATCGGATTGATTTTATGAATATTCCATTAATGTATTTTTCATATTTATTGCTTTGTTCTTTCACCTATAAATAGAGGTACTCACTATAAACAATCTTAAGAGATAATATAATAAGGGTGTTATAGCCCTTTGGGCTTTGTGTGTCTTTCCTTGTGTTCTTCATATTTAATTTCTCTCTTCAATTTTACATAAAGAGATCAGGGGTTCGAGCCTCCACTCTCAGTGGAGGTATGTGTGTGTGAGTACCAACTAAGAAAAAAATTTCTCTCTTCAATTTTTATATCTTTCAACATGCCTTACTCTATACTCTACTCGTCTCAGATCTCCGGATCAATTCGTCTCAGATCCTTGCAACTCGTTTTGAACTCTTAACAACTTCGTACTTAGTTTCAAGTTGGACACTTGATCGAGTTAAAATCTCTGTGTGTATCAACTTGAGGGAGGGTGTTGGAGAATATTATTTTAGAGGAATCTTAAATTACTCCACAAAGTATTGCTCTAAAAATATTGTGGGAGTGATTTTTGTCTATTATAAAATATGATTAGAGTGATTTATGGGATTGATTTTATAAATCCTCCATTAATGTGTTTTTCATATTTATTGCTTTGTTTTTTCACCTATAAATAGATGTGCTCATTGTAAATAATCGAATATAATAAGAGTGATGTAGCTCTTTGGGCTTTCCTTGTTTTCTTTTCAAGAGTTGTCTTTCAATCCATTCCACGAATGAATTAAGTTCATCCGCGCCATGTACAACCCCTAACTGAAGATACATCAATTTGTAACAGGGCAGCCTTCCAAACCATTATTGCTGGGTAACAATCACACTGTAGGTGTTTCAAAGTCTCCATCTCCAAATCACAAGTTTTACAATGACTATCCATGGACATACCTTTCCTGATTAATTGATCCGAAGCAGTAACTCGATCATGAAAAAACCTCCAAATAAAATGTTTAATTTTGGACTTAACCATCATTTTCCAATTTTTAGGCCAAAAAACTGCCTAGCCCTTATAGAAATATTCTCTTCATGATTAACCACCGGAACTGAGCGACCCCTCTTCAATTGTAAAGTTAAATAATAAGTTGATTTGACAGAAAAAAAAATCCCACCAGCATCTATCTATCTTCTTGATCTTTTTGGTTCAACCGGATTTGAAAAATCTTGGCGCGACATTTATATACCGGCCATTACCAATCTTTCACAATAGCCCTTTGTATAAAACACTTAATTCCTGCAAGCATACTACTCCACGCCCATGATTGTGTCGACCCTTTTAAATCGGCTATGCCTACTAATTATGAAATTGGCTTGATGCGGGCGTGCCAAAACCAATTTGCTTCTTTCGATTGAAAGAGATTGGTCAAGTTGGGTCTATTTTGCGAATATAACGGAACAACCGATGAATGAGAGAGAGAACATAAAACTCTCAATTGAGTTCAATTTGCCTTTAGTAAGAACAAGACTTAAAAGGAAGAACAATTGCAAAGAATAAAACTAGAATGAATTTTAAGCAAGAATGAAGAGCTATGATAATTACTTAAATCGAATTAAATGCAGATAAACTACTAAGAATAAGAATTCAAGTTGCAGAAAAGAAATAATAAAGGAAATTGCACTAGAAATTAATCAACTAATGGAAAACTGAATTAAAATTAGAAAGGATATTAATTAAACTAAAGAAAACATGATTTAGAAAAAAAGAATTATTCTATGCGATTGTTTGAGAGGTGTTGGACCCCTTACAAAAGCAACTTCTACCATTATTTATAGAAAACTTAAGAGAGTCCTAATATAATTTTACTAAAGAAAATAAATTATCCTACTATCTTGCAAACCTATCTAACAAATACTCCCAATCACTATAAAACTCATTGTCCATCTTCCATACTACTCCCTTAAATTAGAATAACTTATTGCCACATCACCTTTGCCGAGCCCTCATCATCTTGCCACATCGTCGCCACCTTTCTTGCCAAATAGGGTGTCAACAGATTGATTATGAGCTTTCCCCACATGCATAAAATAGAAAAATGGAAAATACTTTCCTTTTAATAACTCATAAAATAAACCATGTCTCTCCTCTTGCAATCATCAACCAAATTAGCAAGCAAATGTAAATTAAAGGCCTACAAATTTCTAAACCCCAACTATTTTTTTCAAGACTCCACTAGCTTGTCCTGAGCAATCCAGTGGATCTTATGCAAATCATCACGATCATTTACACAAAATAATCGTCCCAATTTAAAATCTAATATAATATTTTTTTTAATATTTCTAATTTATTTTTTTGCCTAGATGTTATAAAAGTATGTGGACTCATAATAAAAAAAAGTATATTTAGAAATTCATTCCCTAACACTGTAATAAAAAAAGAAAAAGAAGAAAAGATGCTTTGCAGTAAAGAAATCTAACCTTGTATAATAAACTCGACTTTTATAACAAATCAAATATTTACTAAAAATTTGATAGTCACCGTTTGAGACACCAAGAATTATATAAATTATTTTTTCACAGATCTTCAATTTTATCCAATGAACCTCACCAATGGAGTTACACCTCAGTTTTTTATAAAAGTTCTGACTAGATTTAGGCAAATAGGTACGGAAGATTGGATATAACTTATAAGACCCCCAACCAATGTTATGAAAGAGGGAGTCAATGTTAATATGTAGAGTCCTATGCTTTAATTAATTAATTAATTTATAGTAATTTACCTATTGGCATTAAAACAATACTTCCTGTACCCACCTAAGCCATGGAAGAATTCTTGTTGTGCGAAGCGAGTAGTGCAATTTTTTTTTCCTTGTAAAATATATACTATATATATATATATATATATATATATATATATGTTTGTGTTTTGTTCTTATTGAAACTCCAATTATAAGCTGCAACCTCCTTCATTTCAAAATCTTTGAAATTTGTAAACATACACACGAAAGAGAGACGCAATGGAGGCGCAAGGGTCTGCTGCTGCTAAAAGATGGATGTGCTAGGTTTTTCGTTAGGGTTCCAAGTAGTGGTAATTTAGTCTCATAAATTTCATTCATTTTTAACTAAATAATAAAGTAATTTGACAAAATTGGCTTTAAAATGCCACTTCTATTTTTTATCCAAAGCAAGAAAAGTTATTAGTTAAATTAGTAGATGCAGAGAGTCAAAACATGTCACTCTAAAGTCGATTAAAGATACTAACTCACTGACATATCAAGGCATCTCCAAAACGGTCACTTACTATTTTACTAGTAATTAAATTTTATATTTGATGATTGTACATTTTTTATTTACTTTATGATCACTGCAGAAAAAAAATTATATTCAGGCCTACTTGTTTAGTGAATCAATTTAGGCCACTGGATTGTCTGTGGTCTAAAATGGGTGGCATTTCAGGCCATTAATCATTTCATTTTGATAAGTATATTTAACTTGGGGGCACCATGTAGGTTATGGGGGTGAAAATTGTATTTTAGATTAAAGGGTTATGGTTGGGCTAAGTTTGGGCCTACTTGGAGGGGAATTGCCGAATTGGGGTTTGGTTGGCCCAAAAGCAGCTTTGTTTCCATTCCCCGGCACTCACTCGTATTCACTGGTACTCTCAAAGCCGCTGGACTCACAGTGTCTTGCGAGAAAAAATCTAGAGAGAGAAAGTCAGAGAGAGAGAGGATGAAGTACAACCCGCGAGTTTCGAGCTCGCGTCGCAAGTGCAGGAAGGCGCATTTTAGCGCACCGTCTAGCGTTCGCCGGGTGCTGATGAGCGCACCCCTCTCCGCTGACCTCCGGAACAAGTACAACGTCCGGTCAGTCCCCGTCCGCAAGGACGACGAGGTCCAGGTGGTCCGTGGGACCTACAAGGGCCGCGAGGGCAAGGTGGTCCAGGTGTACCGCCGCAAATGGGTCATCCAAGTGGAGCGGATCACCCGGGAGAAGGTCAACGGGTCCACGGTCAACGTCGGCATCAACCCCTCCAAGGTCGTCATCACCAAACTCAGGCTCGACAAGGACCGAAAGTCGCTTCTCGATCGCAAGACCGAGGGTCGAGCTGCTGATAAGGCTAAAGGGAAGTTCACGGCTGATGATGTTGCGGGTGCAGCGTCTCTCCAACAGGTCGATTAGATGTTAACATTCCCCGAACTTGTGCTATTTTTTAATTTTTCTTATCTTTTTTAATAGGGTAACTGTTTTGGGTAAGTGATTATTTAGTATTATTTGCACCCAACTGATATAAATTTCAATTAGAAATAATTACGAGTTGTTAATAGATGCATTGTGTTTTTTAGGTTTTGCATTAAGTGTTTCATGGTTTTTTTTTTTTTTTTTTTTTTTTAGAGCATTTGGAATGCTTAAATGCTGTTTTTGTTTTGAAGCACTCGGGAGTTTAATTTTGTTTTGTTTTGTTTTTTAATCTCATTTATGATTTAATTGTTAATTAATGATTTTTTTATAGCATTTGGAATGCTTAAATGCTGTTTTTGTTTTGAAGCACTTGGGAGTTTAATTTTGTTTTGTTTTTTAATCTCATTTATGATCTAATTGTTAATTAATGATTTTTTTTGGTAATGGAAACTCTTATTATTCTCATAATATGTAGTTTTTTTTTGGGACTGGGATGTGGAGATTAAAGTTGGAGTATGTCATTTGTATGCTTTGTGCGACGCGGTGGATCATCAATAAATACAGAGGGTAATCAGTGATGTGGGCACATTTCTCGATTGAATTAAAAGTCTCTCGAAACATTTGCTTCAAATTTTAAGAAGCTAAACTATTTTGTAACCTTGAAAAAAGTTGATGGCATAATTTATTTAAAATAAGAGTTATAGGTCTAGAGAAAGTTGTGAGCATTATTAGGTTGGTTCCACGATCTCTCTTGCCAACTACGTAGTGTTTGAAGACGAGCTCAACTGGTCCTAACTTGTGCAGGTATCTTTAGTTTGAGCTCAACTCTTCTCCCTGGCACTTGGTTGCTTTAATTGAATTCTCCTGAATTGGTAGATCAGTGTAGCTTTCGCGAAGAGTCATTAGGCTTCTGTAATTGTGGGCTAATTGTATTAACGAATTCAGTAACTGAATGAAACAATTAATGACTTTAGCAAGCAAGGGAAATGTATGACCTTTAGGAGAATATCTTTCTTGCATTGGGAGTATCATGTCAACGGTGTTATCAACTAATTATATCTTATCACATAAGTAAAAAACATCTATTTCAGTGGTCCTAATACTACCTGTCAGTATTTAGTTAGTGGGTGAAACCATGTCATCGGTATTTTTCAAGTTTTTTCCGATCTTTAAATGTTTGTTGTTTAGGTTTCATGTGGATTTACAACTTAAGATTGGGTTTTATTTTAGTGGTGGATGGTGGAGCAGGATCAGAAAAATCCAACTAAAGTAATTGTTACCTGCGGTTTTGTTGTTGTAAGGTGCTTTATTCCGCCGCTAAATATTATTGATTGGTGTAAATCTTCTTTTTTTTTTTTTTTTGTAATGGATTTCAAGATCCTCTAAATGTCCTTTTTTACCCTTCTGAACGGATGAGAAGCATGAATACACATTGGATAGAGTAAAGCATGCCATTTGTGCAGTGATTAATTAAGTCTATGTATTCATGGGACCATAACATACCCCAAATGACTTTATTTCAGTTAATTGACTACTCACATTTCTACTATATGCAGCTTTCTGAATTGTGCTTGTCCAGTATGAGAATGAAAACACCTGAAACTCTACAGTTTTGCTTCTGCCTATGTTTTTGGATGAAATTTTCCTAATATAATTCATTACCTTATTCTCTTATCCAAAAATAAAAAATAAAAAAAAAATCATTACCTTATTCTGATATTAGATTGGATATTTATCAATTTATCATGTTAAGTAGCTTTAACATTTGCACCTACCTTGGATTTTTACTCGTCATGATGAAGCATATATCAATTGGGCCATGGTGGGAGTTGGATATGGTTGCTTTTGTGATGGTATTTGTATCACAATGTGACAGTAGGTGGAAAAATGATTCTAAATGTAAAGGGATTTGATATTTCAAGATTCTAATTTGTAGGTCCGGCGAGCAGTTTTTTGCCAGATTAGCAATGCAATTAGCCTTTTAGTGAATTTTAGTTTGTTGCCATGAAATTGAGGTCTGAAGGTCGGTTTTTCACAAGTGTGCTAGAAATTAGGTGGTCCATAGATCTTGCTACTTCATTGTTAGGATTAGGGCTTGGTGGAGAAGTTCGAATTAGGTGTATTATGTAGAACAAGTTAATTGATTCTGAAAAGGAACTACTGTGGTCCATGCCTCCATGGCGCATGGACCGCATGATTTTCTGTCTAATGATGGGTTATATGTTACTTAATTCATGTTTAGAGAACATCATGGTTTATTATTATTATTATTATTTTTTATGTACTATAATTCAAAAAGTTTGCTGCCTCCTTGAATATAATTTTGTACATGAAAATTACCGTTTTTCTCACTGGCATTTCTTTAGGAAGCTAATTCTTGATTAAAAATTGTTGCTTGAAAGGAAATATGGTTAGCTTAGCAATGATGTATGATCATGTGTGCATCAAACATGTGTTTCATATGGGTAAAATTAGTTCATATTTTGATGATTCTAACATTTGCTCGTCGATCGTGTGTCCCCTGTGGCCGTAGAAATTAGAATTTATTATGACCTTGTTCTGTCTTAATTACCATACTGCATAAGATTGTGAAGTTTTGTTTCATAAGCCTTTCTAAATTATTGTTGAGGTTGATGCAAAATCTTTTATGATATTGTTTTAACAGAATGCCCTCCATTTTCAATTCTTATGCATTATTTACTATTAGTTAGTTTATTTACCTTCCTCTTTTTTACCAGTTTTGTTTCTCAGTAGCCCCTAATATGTCCACTTCTGGAAAATTTCTGCTCTTCTATACTTTTTAAAGCTGACAGGCAACACAGTCTATCATTTTTACTTTATGGTATTTGACATTGATTGCTTGATAGAGTTTTCTGTTGCAATTCAAACAAAAATGGCATGGTCTTTTTTATTTTATTTTATATTTTATTTTTTGAGGTGGTTCTGCTACTAATTGTTGTAATGATTTTGTATGATTCCTCTCATATTTCTTCTTCCTTAATTAAAATTAGAAATTAATAAAATTTCAAAATATGGTAAAATTTTTGTTCCTTCCCTTTAGTACATCTTTTCCATCTCAGTTTTCATAATAACTTGAAAATGGGGCTTGATTTCACTTGAACTGTGATCCCCATTAAGATACAAACATGGAAAACATTGTCCTGTGCCTAATGTAACAATTTCATTTTATAGTGTAAATGCAACAATTTTAACAGTGTTATAACGTTGCAACAAAATGTAGCATGTTGCATGAATGTGTTGTATCTTCAATATAAATGTGTTTCATAATTTTTTAAAAGTTGTCGCATAATTATTGTATTTTGTGATATTGTTGTGTTGTACCCGTGTACAGAATTTCTATAGTAAGGTAACTGAAAAAAAAAAAAAAAAAAAAAAAAAAAAAATTTCAATTTTCCTGTTTTTTTGAAACAAAAGCTACTTTTTATGTTATCAATTAAGTGGTGGGTGCTTATTTTAACCAGACAGTTCAGAATCTTGAGAAGTGAGATTTGTGGAGGCAAGAGGGCCATATAGTTAGTTATAAGTTGTGAAAAAGAAGCAACTAAGACTGATATGATTAGAGTCTTACCTAAAACATGCTCAATAAGTCTTTTCCTAATCCAACTCACCATATGGAATAACAAAATCTTCAATCTCAAACCACCTACTTATTAGCTCATTATACCTTCCATGTCAAGCAATTATACAATGAAACACACTTTGTTTTAATTTTTTTTGCTTATTTTTAATTGACCTGAGAGATTATGTCCCTAATTATAGGGTGCTCTAAGAGACTAAACATGTTATTATTGTGCACGATAATAATTACGGTTCGAATTTATTAAAAAATAAAAAGAAAAACAAATAAAAAATTAATTGAAAATCTTTATATGATGATTGACTGAGATGTGGTCATTGTTGTGATTCACAATATATGAAATTATGCATACAAACAGATCACTTCTTGTGAGAAAAGATTAAGACTGAACCAATTGAGGAGAAAATTTTACTAGGGCCGGCTAATCACATCAGCTATGTATGTGATTGTGTCAATTTCTTGCTTACATGTCCTCATAAAAAATTAGTCAATTTTATTCGTTGCTCTCAAATTAATTTTAAAAGAGTGCCAAATCAATTCATATACAAGATGAGTTTGAGATTTTTTTTTTTTTTTATTCGTTTCGTACTCACAGTTTTTAAAGCGTGCATTTTTAATTAGAAATTAACTTTGATACTATTTATTATAGTCAAATCATGTTACACAGATATTGTTAGATTTTCACACCTTTTATATTTACGATTTTCAAAATACATTTACATAATAAATTTTTTTCTCCAACACTTTGTGAAATGTCACACAATAACCGTTGGTATATTTGATGTATTTCTAATCTAAGTTACTAATAAAATGTCACATTAATCAACAGAATAGTGGCCGAGCAATACCAATATCTTACTTTTCAAAACGAGATCAGAATTCGAGTCTCAGTGGAGGCATGAGGCATGTGAGTGAGTATTAATTAAGAAAAAAAATAAAATGTCACATTTATATCCAAATATGTACAGCTGACTTGGCATTTACTTACTTGAAATTGCTCGTATATGGTGACATGGCAAGTCATTTTCTCAAACTAACAAAAGGCATACTCAAGCTGACATGGCAGGGGAATTTAACTAACTGCAGTGTCTGAACTGTAGATAATACAATCACGTCGATGGAAACCGTTAAGACGGTGAGTGGAAGCTCCACTATTCGTTAAATCTCGAACTCTCCACAAATCATTTCCTTCCACGTCAGCATAAAACGAAAACCATATTCACTTCGAAATTCTACTTTTACAAAACTTGAAAAACAAAACACCCATCTCTCGAACAAGATTAGTGGATGCAAATAATTCCAGTGGTTCGAAACACACCTGATTCTTGCCCTTGCTCTTTATATACCATACCTTCCACATCATTCCCATTTCACACTCTCTCTCACAAAAACAGAGCCTCTTCAAAGTTTTGGTGAGGTATGTTTTCATGCTGTTATTGAAACAATACGATTTTCACATTTGAATTCGATTGATTTTATTTGTTCTTTAGGTTAATTCGTATGTGATTGATGTGTTAATCGATTTAGAATTTCAGATTTTCGGATTATCTCTGTTTAATTGATTTGAAATGCACGTTCTAATTTGAGTTGATTTCAATATGTTCAGATTCTTCAGAATGAATTTCCTGTTGAAGTGATTTGAATTACATGTTCTGATTTGAGTTGATTTCAATATGTGATTGATGTGTTAATCGATTTTGAATTTCAGATTTTCGGATTATCTCTGGTTAATTGATTTGAATTGCATGTTCTAATTTGAGTTGATTTCAATATGTTAAGATTCTTCGGAATGAATTTCATGTTGAATTGATTTGAATTACATGTTCTAATTTGAGTTGATTTCAATTTATTGAGAATGAATTTCAATCGATGAATCTGATTGTTGTTTCTGTGATTTGTATACAGCAAGATTGTGATCAGTTGAAATGCAGAAGGAGATTTCTCAATCCAATGTCGACAATGACAACAACAATTCCAAGTCCAACAACTCATCACCACAGTACCTATCTCAAAATCCACTTCTCTCTCCATCGCAGAACCAGACAATCGATTTCTTCCCCTCCTTCTCTCCGTCGAACTTCTCCGACGACGACGGCGTCGCTTTGGCCACCGAGATTGAGAACCGCCTCTATCGGCCGAGCGTCATGCTAGAGTACCAGCAACTGTACAATCGCAACGCAATGTGTCTCGCTCATCTCCAGGAATCGATGAAAGAAGTTGACGCTCTTCGTCTAGAGAATGATGAACTCCGATTGGCTAACACGGCTCTGGTCAGGCGTCTGAGCCTCTTCTCACAGGCGACGATTCAGAACTGTATGCTCTCCTCCGGTCATCCTCCTCGGTCTTTCTTCAACGATTTCCATCGTCTCGATATGGGAGGCATTGACAGTCGCGTCGCCGGAGAAGTTTCTGATGTGAGTCCGACCAGCGTGATCGAGCACAACCGGGGAGAGCGAAGGAGCGCCGAGAGAGTTTCGCTGCCGAAAAGCATTTCCGTTCGTTCCAGTGGCTATCTGAAGATGAATCAACGCGGCAGAGAGAGTGTCGGTCCAAGTCGCGGCGCCACCAGTCACCGCCGTGTCCCGAGTCCAGTCCCTAACGAATCGGTGAGTCAACGCGATCTCTCTCAGTTTCAACGTGATATCCCTCTTCTGATCATTTTCACGTGAGGTTCAGCACTTTCGTTTCGTGTATTTTGGTAGCATGTTAATTTCCAAAAAAGCCTTTAGGACTCTACAAAATTTGCATATTATACCCTTCCCAAAAAAATCAAGAGTCTAAATTACAACAAAGGCTAATAGCCTAAATATAATTTGATGGTGTCTTAAAAATTATGAAATTATTTTCATAATTAATTTCACAAAATACCTAAAATTATAAGAAATTTGTCACTGCTTCGCAAAGCATGTAGTAAAATAATTTTAAGGCGTGTTAAGTAATTATTCCAAAATAAATTGAGACATTTCAAAGTACCAATGTTTTCATAGTTTACTTCTGCAGAATTTGGCAAGTACTTTATTAGAAAGGGGACATGCTTCCCTTCAAAGCAACATGTGATATGTAAAACAGTGATATTATTATTAATTGTTGAATGAACTATTAACGTGAAATCTTATGTTTGGAAGCACAAAATCGTTGCATTGAATTTAGAAATGGAAAAAATTTCAAAATAAAGTGAATGAATTATTATGATTAATTTGTTGATGTGATGTGTGGAAAACAGCAAAGAATGTATGTGCCAAGAGGGAAGAAAGAGGAGGAGGCACTGGAGTTCGAGGTGTACAACCAGGGGATGCAGAAGACAGAGCTGTGCAACAAATGGCAGGAGACCGGGGCGTGCCGGTACGGCGACCAGTGCCAGTTCGCTCACGGCATCAAGGAGCTCCGTCCGGTGATCAGGCACCCGCGCTACAAAACCGAGGTATGTCGCATGGTTCTGGTTGGTGGCTCCTGCCCTTATGGCCATCGTTGCCACTTCCGTCACACCCTCACTGAGCAGGAGAAACTCTTGGGCCACTTTTGACGGTCTTGACCATAATCAGAATTAATAAATTGTAAATGCAGAAAACACACACAAAAATTAAATATATGATGATGTGGTCAACAACTATGGATATTTTGGGTACATTGCATGAACTATGTAAATGCTGGGTTGGGTTTTTCAGATACTGATTCTAATGATGATATTTTCACATGCCTTGACATGCAATGCATGTTTCATTGCAGTTATTCTCTTTTTTTGGGTTCTATATTAATTAGCATAGACTGCATGTGAGTAACGGTGTGTATTTCTCACCATTATTTAAATAAATTATTAGAGATATTACAAATCAATTGAAAAAATTGTCTTTGTATGATTAAAAGCTTCGATATATTAGTAATGCAAAATGAATTATTATTATTATTATGCATTATTATTATTATTATTTTCGTTTACTAAATGATTGATTGATTAATGTCATTGCATGACTCTGTGTAAATTGTGTTGGGTCTCTCATGCGACATATGATGGTTGATATATATTTATATATATATATATATATATATATAGCCGGTACCAATTTAAGTAGGAAAAATGTTGCTTGGGAAACAAGAGTTGGCGTGGGTGATCATGGATGCTTTTGGTTAGTATTGTGCGTCAACAACCGTTTGTTGGTGAATCCTGACCGCCCCTTGTGTTTCATGTTCACGTCAATGCGGTTGTTGTGAAAGTACACACTTCTATGTGCACCTAAAAGGCCAAATCCATCTCTCGAATCTGGACCACAAGTCCACTATTCATAAATCATAATACTCTCCCCTATATGCTAAAAACTATTCCATTAAGTATTATTAGAAAATAAGTAAAATTACTAAAATGTTATGTTTGGAAATATCAAATAATCCGTCGAGCATAGACAATCACTTTGTGAAATATCTAAGGTTAGGTCTGAGTCTCTTTCCTAGGACCCTGCTATAGCGGGACCAGAACTGTGTAATGTTTCTTTATGTTCCTTTATTAACTGGCCAATCACACATAAACATATATGCTATGTTTACATTAAATGTACATAAAGAGCAAGAGTTTTGGTGTAATAGTAAGGTCGTCTCATTATGACTTTCAAGGTCACAAGTTTTGAAAACAATCTCTCCGTATGTGACGATAGAAACATCGTACATCTGTCCCTCCTTATACTCCAAATTGAGGGAGCCCGTGAACTGGGTCTAGCCTTTTTTTCCAATTATATTTAGATACAGGATGCCACCTCTTTGTAATGTAACGTGGCTTCATGCAAATAGGACAAGGAGATGCATATAATTTTTCCTATTTGCCTTGGTAACTACCAAGGGTATGAACCAATTAAAAAGAATATTACAAAGAAAGGCTCCCCTTGTACCTACAAGTACCATCCTCTAACCATCTGCTCTTATTCAAAGAAAATTCTCTCCTTAACCAGCTCCCATCTTAATTGCTCCCTAATTTTCTTCAAAACTCTAGGCAAATAATGGGCGTCACCGCTTTCACCGAGGAATATGCCAACGCCATTGCTCCAGCAAGGTTATTCAATGCATCGAGGTCGGTCCTCGACTCTCACAAAACTAAAGCTCATGCCATAGCCTATCAAAAGCATTGAGATCACCTTCGACCAAAAAAAAAAAAAAAATGAGATCACCCAAGGAAATGGAGGGGCTGGCAGCATCAAACGGATCAGAAACATAATACTAATAACATCTGGCTAATGAGAGGTGGAAATGGAGCTTGCAGTCATACCTAAAGGAAAGTTCTATCATTTGAGAATCCATCAGATGTCCAAAAAAAGTACAACAAAGAAAGAACCCAATGAATGAAGTTCAGTCGGGCAAGAATAAACTTCATGAATAGGCCATGAAACAATTCGATCCAGTCTTTTGTCACTGGAATGATCGTTAGATCGAGACTCTAGTCCAACGCAATAAGCACAAGTGAACACTGCCAAAGGTTGAATTTTACCTGCTTCCGTTCTAATGAACTGAACTTGTGTAGAAGATAAGCTTTCATGTCCGTAGCAGCTGGTGGATTTCCAATGCCTACAACCAGAAAAATGTTTTTAAGTTGGAAACAACTACAGGCTACAACTCTGGAACTTCAGGAGACAATATTGCTGCAAGCAATCAAAGTTCCAAGAAACCAACCTATGCATAACCTCGAAAATTCTCGACGACATTCCAAGTGGTCCATCACACTCTTCACTCTGCGACATTCCAAGTTCCAATAATTAAGAGGACTTTACAATAATTAAATTATAATAACCTTAATGCTACGTTTGGTGTGCATGAATAGAATGGAATGCAAGTAGGAATGGAATGGAATGGTCATTCTCATTCTATTGTTTGGTTGTAAATATGAAATGTGTAGGAATGGAATGATAATAACCATTCTAGTATTTGGTTGGACCAATTTAAAATTTAGAATGGAATAAATTTCTAATTGAATTTTCCGAAATATCCCTCTTAGTAATAAATAAATTAAATTAAATTAACAAAATGATATTTTCTAATAATTTTTTAAAAATAAATGGTGGCAGTGGCGGTGGTGGATGGTGGAAAACGGTAGTAGTGTAGGTGGTGGTGTTGGAAGACGGTGGTGGTGGCAATGGTGGAAATTGGTGGCAACAGTGGTGGTGGAAGGTGGCAGTGGTGTTGGTGGAAGGCGGTGGCAGTAGTGTGGTGGTTGTGGTGGAAGGAGATAGTAGTGTGACTATGGTGGTGGTGGAAGGCAGTGGAAGTGGCGGTAGTGGTGGTGGTGGAAGGTGATGATGATGGTAGTGGTGGTGGAAGACAGTGGAAGAAGCGGTGGTGGAAGGCGGCGGCGATGGTAGTGGTGGAAGAGAGTGGAAGTAGCGGTGGTGGTGGTGACGATGGTGATGGTGGTGGTGGTGGTGGTGGTGGAAGGCGGCGGCGATGGTAGTGGTGGCAGTGGTGGTGGTGGAAGGCAGTGGCGGTGGTGAAAGGTGGTGGCGGTGGTGGTGGCGGTGGTACTGGCGGCGGCGGCGGTGGTACTGGCGGCGGCGGCGGTGGGGGTGGTGGTAATAAAAGGTGGTGAAAGGCGATGGCGGTGGCGCTGGTGGTTGTGGAAGGCAGCGGTGGCGGTGCTGGTGAAAGGTGGCGGTAGCGATAGTGGAAGGCGGCGGCGGTGGTGGTGTAGGGTTGTGGCGGTGGCCGTGGCGGTGGTGGAATGTGGTGGTGGTAGTGAAAGGCGGTATCAATGGTGGTGGTGGAAGGTGGTGGCAGTGGTGAAAGGCAATGGTGGCGGTGATGGTGGAAGGTGATGACAAACAATAGCAGTGGTGGTGGTGGAAGGTGGTGGCGATAGTGGTGATGACAGTGGCGGTGGTTACGGCAAAAGGCGGCGGCGGTGGTTACGGCAAACGGTGGCGGTAGCGGTGGTGAAAGGCGGTGGCAGTGGTGGTGATGGAAAGTGGTGGGCGATGGTGAAAGTCGGTGGTGGTGGAAGGTAGTGGTAGTGGTGGTGGTGGTGAAGGCGGAGATGATTGTGGTGGAAGGTAATGGTGGTTTTTGGACTTGGAATATGAAGGTGTTTTAGGAAGTTGATTTTTTAAAATAAATTACTTAAAAATGGAATGGCCATTTCATAGGTTTAGTTGTGGAATGGATTTTCATTCCCAAGAATGGATGACTATTCCCACTTTAAGTTGCAACCAAGCAAAGGAATGATTGGAATGCGCATTCCATTCCATTCCATTCCTGCACACCAAACGTAACATAAGAGAATAGAAAGGGGAGAGAAATAGATATAGAAAGAAATAGAAAGGGAAGAGAAATAGATATAGAAAGAAATACAAAGGGAAAGAGAATTATAGAGAAAGAAAGAGATAGGAAAAGAGAGAATAAAAGAGATAAGAATAGAGAGAAAGAGCAAGATGCTATTCTGGAAAAGAGCTTGAGAAAGCAAACAAATAAATTAAAGGATTCTAAGGGTGCTAGACCTCTAATACAACATCCCTCTTTGATTATTCATAGAATAATTCATAAAAACTGAACCCTACACACAAGCATCCTACTTATAGTAAAATTCTAATCACAATTATACGACAATTCAAATTAAATTAAACTACAAATAACCCTAAAGTTTAACTGCACCTAAATAAAAGATAAAACTACCATTGCGAACCCTATTTGTCATCTAATTCAAAATAAGCCTTTGCATGCAATTTGGATTCCACGTGGAGCTGTCAACAATTCCTTTAATCAAGCACCCAACCATGTAATTGGTCCATATACTCCATTTACTCAACCGAACCTCTTCTCAAAAACCAAGCCCTTGCCATGCCACTATATATCCAACCCAATTGTAATATTCTTTAGCCTAATTACAATCCAAGTCCAATTATCAAAATGGGTGTCAACAGACATATATATATATATATATACATATATATATATATATGTGCAAATGGATCATGGCTGGTGGTCTTAGTAGGTTGGAGGATCTTACTCCTCTATTGTGTTTAAATTCCTAATGAAGAGCTTTTTAATTCTATGGTAATACATATGTTTCCAAGACATGAACTTCTTGTAGCAACTACGCAGAATTTTGTAGCCGAATAGTAAGCCTGAGCTGGGCTTGGTCCTTCCCCTTGTTTGGTTGGGGGAGAGGGAGGGGGAAAGGAAAGTAGAGCCGGAAAGGAAGGGAAAGTAGAAAGGGAAGCAAGTTTCCCTCCCTTTTTCAGACTTTTTTTTCTTTTCTTTTTTATCCCCCGTATATATGATAGACCATACCTACCTATTTACAGTAGTCTTAGGTGAAATAACTATAGATATACAAGTTGACATCCCATGTTACACAGTGTTGGTGGATACCAATAAGAAAAACTAGAGTATCAATGGGCTACAATAACAGTATCGGTCTCTTATTTTTCAAAGAGATGTGAGGGGTTTAAATCTCAGAAGAGACATGTGCGTGTGAGTACTAAGAGGAAGAAGAAAAAAAATATAAAATAAAATAAAATAAAAAACTTGGCCAACAGCACTAGAAGCAAAAGTTAATTTATATTAGAGAGAAATACTACAAGTATCAATAAAAAGTATCACACTGGTTGAATCTATATATTAGGTACATAAGAAGAAACTGATTGTTTCTTTAGTTTAACAGATGGTAATGAAATGCGCTGTTTGTCGGTATCGAAACAAAAATGCGTTCCTCCGTATCTTCCGGAGGGTGAGGTGCAAAAATTTCATAGCGTTAGGATTGTTCACTGTCAATTTATGCGTTTGAGTATGATTTGATTGGCGTTTGTGTAAATTGAGTAGGATTTGATCGACGTTTTCTATTGGATTTGACCCTTGTCTCTCATTATTTGGCTCTCT